CTGCGGAATCGCCGGAAACCACCTGGGCACCGTGTCGGCGGTGACCTCTGTGAAGAGCGGTGCAGCAGCGGGGCGGCAGGGCGCAACGCTCGGCGGTAGGAGGCGGATAATGAGAGGGAGAGGGGGCGGAGCCGGCAGGATAGAGGTCCAGCACGAGTGGGCAGAGGAGGCGTACGGGCTGGCGACGCGCTGCGGGGGACGCGCAGAGTGGCCGGAGTGACTGGAGTGACAGAGTGACTGGGGTAGCAGAGTGGCTGGTGTGCTGGAGTGGCAGAGTGGCCGGAGGGACTGCAGTAGCAGAGTCGCTTGAGTGGCAGAGTTGGCGGAGTGCTGGAGCGGCGGAGTGGTGAGAGTGACTGGAGTATCAGAGTGGCTGGAGTGGCGCAGTGGTCGGAGTGCTGGAGTGACAGAGTGCTTGGAGTGGTAGAGCGACCCGGCGTACTAGAGCGGCAGAGTGGCCGGAGTGACTGGACTTTTAGAGTGGCTGGAGTGACAGAGTGGTCGGAGTGCTGGAGTGGTCGGAGTGCTCGAGTGGCAGAGTGGTCGGAGTGGCAGAGTGACCCGGAGAGTTGAAGCGGCAGAGTGGCCGGAGTGGCGAAGTGAGGTCTCACCGGCTTCAAGGCCGGCCGGCAAGACACATCTGAGAGGAGAAGCCCACATTGACCGGCCAAATAGCCAGGCTAGTGTGTAAACGAATGACGGCGAGAGGCTGGCGGAGTGGTTATCGAATGCGAGATTGTCATCATAATTGCTTCGGTTCCACCAGCAGTAGGCTTGGCTGACTGGCCCCACCAAGGAATGACTGGCCTGACCGAGAGGACTGACTGGTCCGACCGAGAGGAATGACTGGTCCGACCGAGAGGACTGACTGGTCCGACCGAGAGGACCGACTAGTCCGACCGAGAGGGCTGACTGGTCCGACCGAGAGGACTGACTGGTCCGACCGAGAGGAATGACTGGTCCGACCGAGAGGACTGACTGGCCTGACCGAGAGGACTGACCGACCCGACACCGGTACCCCATTGACGTATTGAAATCAAAACGTGAACCAAATGTGCAAAAAAGGGTGCTTTGCCTGCAAATGCAATCGCTGGCGAATGCAAAGTAAAACGCCACCATGATGTCACATGCGGGAACTACTCTGTAAAATGCATCATCGAAGCCTTTCGGTAATGTTCCCGAACCTAGCCGCTCATTTGATGATGGCAGTGTCCCACTCGCCCCGCTTCTCCACTAAAGCAGCATCTGAACTGCTATCGGCCAGCCACACAAACGTCTGCACTTGACCGGGTGCGAGGCCCGTGCGCCGGCGGCAGGGGCCGGTGGCGCGAGGCACCGGGCCGATGGTATCGGAGCGACGGGGGCCGCCGGACCGCCCTCCTGCCAGCCGCCGCCCACGTCCCGCCGGGTCAAGGCGACGGACAGCGGCCGGCCGCGGCCGAAACAAAAAGGTCGGCGCCGAGCGGACAAAGAGACCGCTTCACCATGGTCAAGCGCCCGACGGGGTGGTCTAGAAAGATTGCATGCCATTAGAAGAAAAAAGGAAAACACGCGCATACTTTGATTACTCCTAATTACGTCAGACGTGATAGCACTAACGCATAACGTAAGAATTATGCCACTCCAACGCCATTTGTAGGACAAAGGTCTCCGGTAAGCCGAGACCATCCTATCCAACTCCGCAGTAGAAGAGACCCTGTCCGATCCCTTCAAGTGCCCACCGCACACTGGCCAATCTTTACCACCCGGACCCTGGCGCGGACCCAGTGACATACGGCGGCGTAAAGTTCCGGGAGGCCGTCCCGTCCCCGCCGATAGCGCGGCCGGCGTCGCACGCGGATGTGGACGACACCGTTTGCGAGGTACGACCGATCCCAGACCGGCTCCGGCCTGCCCCGACGGCTTGGCGTGGGCGTGGGCCGCGGGCAGCGCCGGAGGACGCGAGAGTATTCGGACTCAGGCGGCGGGACGGATGCTCCGGTGGCGCCCCCCCCCCCCACCCCCCCCCCCCCCACCCCCTCCCGCTTCAGACCGTCACGTAGCCGCAGAGTTAGCGGGGAAAGTCAGGAGCTGGTCGAAAATCGCTTACGGCGAATAATGGAGGAGGGAGGGAGAAGAGCGGCACGCAGGGCCTGATCCTAATCCGGCTGACGTGGCGCGCGATTGGCTGCAATAGAGCAGTTCAGCGAAGAGGGAAAGGACGGCTAGCTGCCGGCCTCCCAGCGGCCCGTCTCGCGCTGAGACCCGACCCCAGGCACACTAGCGCGTGGTGGACAGGCGGGGCGGACCTCGGCGCAGACTGCCGCTCGCTCCGCAAACCTCGCGGCACATTGCAGCTCCGCCAAACACTGCTCAATGATGCGGTTTTGTGTTAGGATTCGACGCGTTCAGAGGCGCCCGCCGACATCGGTGGGCCGTGCGGAAAAGACCGCCAGGCCGACAGCTGTTCATGTGGCGTGCGTGCCCAGACGGCCCGCTGGCGCGACATGGGGCGAGTGGCTCTGAAGGGGCCAGGAGTTTTGTCGCCCCGCGGCAACATTTTTTTCGGTGGGCAGATGTGGCTAGTACGGCGGAATGAATCACTTTAATTTAAGCAGCCGTGCCGGTATTTCCGTCAGGTCCCAACAAGCAATGCAGCATCAGGTCGCAACAAGCAATGCAGCATCAGGTCCCAGCAAGTAATGCAGCATCTTGACGTGCCGTCGGAGCTAATCCTCCCCCCCCCCCCCCCGACCCGGCAGAACGATGGACACTGTCCTCCACAGTACGTCAAGTAGTGCCGGTGTCAAGATATCTGCGACAAAATATCTAAATATCTGCGATGAAAGGCCGGACAAAACTCATCGGCCCCGGGTATAAAGCGACGAACATTAGAGACGTCCGGCCACAACTGAGCCCGGCGCGCACCCAGCCCGACGGCCACTCTGGAAGTCCGCAGTTTCCTCCATCACTTCCTCAACACAGCTGACGCTGCAGCTGGCACGTCACGCTCGTCACGATCTCAGCCCCGACCGGGTGGGTGGTCGGCCAGACCGGACGGACAGGCGCCAGTGACATCACTCCTGCCCTTCTCCCGTTACGTCACCGCTTAGCGCCAGCCGCCAAACGACGGCTCATAAAAGCGCCTCGCGGTGTTACGATGATTGCCTTCTGTTCTCTCTCGCTCCTTCGCGCGTCGGCCAATGTTCGCGCGTTCAGTTGGTCATTGTTTACGTAAGCGTCATGGTGAGGTTAGTGACGTCACGCCATACCCTCCGCTCGCGTCCCTGTTTAACACCGACCACGACACGACAAATTATCAACTCGAGCAGTTCTACCACAATGCGCCTTGCTCTTGGTCTTCCCCTTCAGCCAGTCACATCCGAGTGAGTTTAGCCTCAGTTCCACACCGTCACTGGGGCGCAACAGAATAAAGTATTGCACACCAGCGGCCAACAGCGAACGGCCAGTCTTCCTTGCAGTGGGTGGCCGACGCCGGTATGGCATCACAGCACAACCCGGCAAACCCTCTGTTATTGGGTCACGGGCCTTCAGCGAACGCCAGCAAGCAACCGCAAATGACTCATGCCACTTTCCCGGCTGTTCTCTGACGGGGGCGGCGTAAACCGAGGTGATGTGACGTCACACTCCGTCCCGCCTTATCGTCAGCAGCCTCCTCGCGTCACTGAACGGATCCAGTCCAGGTGCTTATCGTCAGCCATCCTCGCGTCACTGACAATCCAAGTCCTGGTGATTGTCGTCAGCCGTCCCCGCGTCATTGACAATCCCAGCCCAGGTGCTTATGGTGCGCGAGTGAGTAAAAAGCAGCACATGATGATGTGTCCATTGTGCTGAACTAAACACCGGAGGAGTGGTCGCCGCCCGCCGCTCTATTGCGCCAACTGTGGCTGGGCACCCGTCACAGCGCGTCTCAGAAACTGGCGCGAGCCAGGCTCTTTACCAGCGTGATACCAGGTCTCCGAACCGACGAGGATAATAAAGAACATGCTGTTGGATCGGCCACGTGTCCACACACGAGGACCTGAGGTCAGAGGCCCGAGCGACTAATGGGACACCGGAGAGGCGAGGTCACCACGTGGGACGCCCGACACGTGACGAGGACCTGTGGCCAGCGCCCGGAGCGACTCATGGGACACCGGAGCGGCGAGGTCACCACGTGGGACGCCCGACACGTGACGAGGACCTGTGGCCAGCGCCCGGAGCGACTCATGGGACACCGGAGCGGCGAGGTCACCCCGTGGGACGTCCGACGCCCGCTCTGGAGGTCAGCGATCAGCGGCTGGCTTGGCGTTTGATGGTGTCGGAGGCGCTGTGCGATCGCTCCGCCGATACGATATGCATCAACAGAGACTCACCCCAGACGCCGCCGGGGCGCCGTTACCCGTAAACATGAGATGCGTCGCGAAGGCCCGACGACACCAGAAAAGGAGCACGCGATGCTGGCTGCTTTACAAGCGGCAGCACCGACAAATCAGCAGTTAGTCTTGTTTTGTCTGGCGGCCGCCCCACGAGCGGCATGCGCGGCATTCCGGCAGATCGCGAGAAGGCGGCGTCTTGCACAAACATGCGCTTGCGCGAATTTCACACCGCAAGACCAGAGAAACGGCGATGACGTACGCCGGCGCAGGCGTGTGGCGACACGAAATCCGGGAGTTCTCCGGGGAGACCGCGGAGACATGAGGCGCGCCGCAAGCTTCCCACGCCCAGATCCCGTTGCGGACCACAGCTGTTTTGCAGGGCGGCCGATTACAGTCATGCGCGAGCTGCAGCCGCCATCTGGAGCCATGCATCCTCTGTAATCAGCGGCGTCCAGCTTCTGCCCCAGCGCGCTCGCCACGGCCGACTAACGGCGCTAGATGAGGCCGTCAGTGCCACCGATCATCGCCAGCAATCCATCACTGGCCCACTCGCTCTCCGCCGCACGCCGCCGCGATCAAAACGCTGCGGCGCCGCGGCGCGAGCGTCGACATCTGTCGGCTGTTAGCCGAACTTCAGCTTACCTTATTGACGTCGTAGAGGCCGCCCTGTAGCCCGACCGGGTCGGGTGGCAGCTCGCTGAGTATTGTGTGGCTGGGAATGTGTGAAGGGGGTGGCCGCGGCTGTCCCAGGCCCGGACTCATCCCCCTGGAAACGGAGGAGGGTCTCACTCAGTGATCAGCTGCAGAGATGCGTCGCTGGTAATCCTAGTCCACTGGTCGGATGAGAATGGCAAGGCGCAAGTCACAGGAGGTGCACCTGCTGGTGTGTTGACCACTGAGCATCACGTCCTCACTACAAGCCATTCATTCAACAGCGTCAGGCAACACAGGTCGCTGATGGAAAGGAAAACTCCCTTTGACGGTAACAACAGAAAGTGATCAACGCAGACGGCCGTACTGGCCGTCCAAGTTGGTCATTTTCTGACTGAAACCTGCAGAAAACTGATTGGTCGGTACGTTTGGCAGTACACAGCATGCATAAGTCTCGCAACACAAAAAGCGAGCCAACTACTCCATTGGTGCGGTGGCTAGCCCAACATATGACCGGCACGTCTCTCGCGCAGCGCTCCCCCTCCTCCTGCAGCCGCCCGAGCCCCGCCCCGCGGCCGCCCGCCGGATCGCCCATTCGTCTCCATCCGCAGCCTGCCGCGGCGGCCGCCTCCGCTTTAATCCCGCTAAGAGCCGGGCCGGCGTCAGGCGGGACTCTGGCGGCCGTCTGACCGCCGCCGCCCGCCCCGCAGAGACCGGTGAGCGCACGGAGACGGACGGCAGAGCCGGCGGCCCCGCCCGTGCCCAGGCGGCGCAGCGCCAATCCGCCGCGGCACGAGTCAATAATGGAGCGCTGGAATTTGCAAGCTAACGGCTGCACCTCTCTGGGCAGTGGTCTGCGACGTCTCGACATTTCAGTACTGCTTCGATCACTGTTCGCTGCAAAAATGAGGATTTGCTAATAGTAAAAACAGAAGGTTACGCAGTCCTGCAGTCTACTGTTGATTCCAGGTGGCAGAATGAATTAAATAAAACGTTACACACATCATTCGGCTGTTGCTGGCGTTTGCTTCCTTCTGCTCTAGCGCCGAGTGGGGCGGGGGATGAAGTTGAACATCAGGCCCAGAACGCTTCACATCCTACCTTTATTTGTTTGATCCCAACACGATGGGTGAGAATTAGGCGGCCCTCCACCACGACCTCTCGTCCTCGAACATCACCTCTCGTCCTCGAGCACCACCTCTTGTCACAATCAGCACGTGTGAGCGCCCGTGCATAATTACACTTTTGACACAAAGAAGACGGCAAAGTATTTAGAGACCGTCAGCAGTTCCCACAAGTGTCAACTTCGCCGGAAAACGTTCCAGCACTCAGCGGAGATCATGGCAAACGTTCGGTGCCATTCTGACTGTCACCTCCACTACATCCGGTGCCTCTCTGACGGCCATAACCACTACATTCCGTGCCGCTCTGGCTGCCACCTCCACTACATCCGGTGCCTATCTGGCCGTCATAGCCACTACATTCCGTGCCGCCCTGACAGCCATAACCACCACATTCGGTGCCGCTCTGACTGCCATAACCACCACATTCGGTGCCGGTCTGACTGCCATAATCACTACATTCGGTGCTGATCTGACTGCCATAATCACTACGTTCCGTGCCGCTCTGGCTGCCATAACCACAACATTCGGTGTCGCTCTAGCTGCCACACACTACATTCGGTGCCGCTCTGACTGCCATAACCACTACATTGCGTGCCGCTCTGACTGTCATAACCACTGCATTCGGTGCCGCTCTGACTGCCATAGCCACTACATGCCGTGCCGCTCTGACTGCCATAACCACTACATTCGGTGCCGCTCTGGCTGCCATAACCACTACATTCGGTGCCGCTCTGGCTGCCATAGTCACTACGCAACGCGCAACCATAACAAAGCCCACCAGTCCGCGACTTCCACATCACACCCGGCACGTGTACCGCAGCACACGCACCCACACAGGCTCTCTGTTCTGCGGTCCCGGGTACTGTTGACGCCTCTGCACGACATCCCCAGGCACTCAACCCAGCCGGGCATCCCACCCACACCGAGCCCGCCCGGCCCGCTCACCTGTTCACTTCGACCGCCTGATAGAGCCCGTTAGCTGGCACAGGCAGCGCGTGGCGCAGGGGAGGAGCGGAGATCGGTGCTGCCGGCGGGTGGCCAGGGCCTGGACCAGGAGACCCGTTCAGCTGGCCGTACGCCGCGTGCGCGCTGGAACGGCAGGCGGGCGGTCATCATCCGCACGGGAACGGAAGGCGGCGGTTTACCATCCGAAACGGGAAAGGGAGGCGGGCGGTCATCATCCGCAGTAGAAGGGGGGGGGGGGTGATTATCGTCTTATGGAAACAAGGGGGCGGCATTGGTCATACATTCCCGTGTAAGTCGGTCGAGAGACGAATACGGTAAGGGATTAGCAATTTCATATCCTTCCCCTTTCAAGACATGCCTGTGTCATATCCCATGGTTCATGTCCTCGAAAGAGCACGAGTCTTTGCATACAAACATATCACCTAGCAGAGGCCTCATGTGACCCGGCTAAACACCGTGACCTGTTCGACCTTGACCCCTCGCAAAGTAATAGAGTGCGTGCGTATTTCCTTCCAGGTCAGGTTCGGCTTCTGCATCAAGCTACGCCACTCGTGCCGCATCGGACCAACCTTCCCATTCCAGCCATCTCGCCACAAAGCTGCCATACGCAGGCCACAGGACCTCCTCCGCCACCCGCCCCACCTGCGCCGCGGTCCATGCAAATACGCTATCATTCCGGCGGGACGACGCTCGCCCCGCCACCTGGCGGCGGCGGCGGCCGTCCGCTGGGACCGCGGCCGATAACGGATGGTCGGTGCGGAGGCCGGCATCCGATCGATCAGGTGCCCAGAACGGCGCACCAGCCGGAGACGCCGGCCGAGCCCTCGACCGCCGGCGGACCGGGCCAGGGAGGTACGGACGGACCGGGTCTGGGAGGCACGGACGGACAGGCTCTGGGAGGTACGGACGGACCGGGCCAGGGAGGTACGGACGGACCGGGCCAGGGAAATGCGGACGGACCGGGTCTGGGAGGTACGGACGGACCGGGTCTGGGGGTACGGACGGACCGGGTCAGGGAGGAACGGGCGGTTCGGGGCAGGAGGTACGCATGGACCGGAACGTGCTTTAAACAGCAAAGCGACGTGTGGCCTCCGGAGTCTGGGCGCATGCAGGAAACACAAGGTTGGGTGCCGGAGGCCTCAAAGCTCATTAAATGCAGCGGCAGCTTCCGTTCCGGGGTCATGAGAAAGTGCATATTTAAAATACCGGTGTTGCGCCACTTCATGTGCGACTTAACCCTCAAACATTGGGGGAGTGTAAGCAATAATGCATGGGGAGTAAAAGTGTTTGCACCCCACATTGCCCCACTCGCGCAGGTGGGGCAATGCGGCTTCAGGGAACACAGCCAGCTTCAGGGAAGACAAGCTGACAGCTGGCGGGGCAGCAGGTTCAGCACTGGCCGGCTGTGCCTCGCGACGCTGGCTGGTCGATGGTAGCCGTGGAATGCCGGCGGGACGCGGCGGTCAATCTGATTGCCGTCCCGCCGCAGCGAGGGCCACGTCGTCAAAAAGATTGTGTTGGGGTCACAAGGGGGGGGGGGGGGGAGAAATGACAGTTCAAACCAGGAGTTTCAGCAGAATGGGAAACTTGTCCAGGTAGGCCATTCCTGACATTTCTTAACACGTATATCATGGTCGAAGATAGGAATTGGGTGAAACTGTATGACATAATGTTACTGTGTGACCATGTCAGCAACTCTCCCAGAGAACATCAACGTTCCTCGTTATCGTCCCCAGCTGATCCCGGAAGTCATTCAACAGTGAAAGCTGTCCGTCCCAAAGCTTCAGCTGTTATTTAGTTCGGACGATGGCCAGTGACTGTCGTCCCTCTCCTCGGACAAATGACTGTTGCTCCAATCCTCAGATGAGTGACTGTCGTTCCACTCCTCGGATGAGTGACTGTCGTCCCACTCCCAGGATGAGTGACTGTCGCCCCACTCCTCGGATGGCTGACTGTCGTCCCACTCCTAGGATGAGTGACTGTCGTTCCACTCCTAGGATGAGTGACTGTCGTCCCACTCCTCGGATGAGTGACTGTCGTCCCACTCCTCAGATGAGTGACTGTCGTTCGACTCCTACGATGAGTGACTGTCGTCCCACTCCTCGGATGAGTGACTGTCGTCCCACTCCTAGGATGAGTGACTGTCGTTCCACTCCTAGGATGAGTGACTGTCGTCCCACTCCTCGGATGAGTGACTGTCGTCCCACTCCTCGGATGAGTGACTGTCGTCCCACTCCTCGGATGAGTGACTGTCGTCCCACTCCTCGGATGAGTGACTGTCGTCCCACTCCCACTCTCCGATGGTAGACTTCAGACCAGCAGTGACCTCACAGTCGAGTCAATTCTCTTTCGTCTGGCTGTCGAAATAGCCCAGGCGCCCACGGGAAATGAATGAAATGAAGAATGAATGAAGGGGAAATGAAAAGGAAACCCGCAAGACATGAAAACCTATCCTTGCAGTTAGACCCCACTGAGCCGGGCTAACGTCATTCGCGCGCGCTCCAGTCGTCACGCAGGCCCCGGGGCGCATAGTTTCGTCTCCACCGGGTCTAGGTCAGTCCTTAGCTTCGGAGTAAAGATCGCGTGCTAGGAGGACGTCACACCGAAAAGGCGCCAATAATCCTCTCCCGGGCCAACAATCCCCTTCGCCGACGATATTCGGGGCTTCTCACCCTCAGCAAAACCTCCACAAGACAACGCCGGCATTGTTGGGGCTTAAACACTCTGCATACTGCACGACTGCAACTTCTATTCGTGAGTTGAATTAACAATGCGTTTGAGCGGAAGAAGCTGAGTTTGGCACGCCACCCGTAAGCTACAATATCCGCGCCCGTCCCAAAACAGACGTTTCAATACGTAACCGGTGCCCGCGACTTTCTCGTCCAGCGCATAATCCCCCGTCGAAGCTTGTGGTACGGACGGCTCGGCCGGCTCAGGGAGAGAGAGGCTAGGTGCCGTTAGCTGCCTCACGCACGCACTCATTGGAACAGGGGTGTGGTAAGGCGATCACCTATGTGTGGGCGTCGGTAACATGATATTTCTACCACGCCGCAACAGACTTGCACCTTGCTTATCATAGGAGAAAAAGTAGACTGGCTACATGACATCTGAGGGGAAGCGTAACTTATTCCTGCATTGAAGGCTGGAGTTCCTTCCTCTGGGCGGAACTTGCATTGCAGTACTTCAGACCGCGTCCGTACTTTACTGAGCATACAATACGAGCAGCCGTGTGCCAAAGAGGTGCTGCCATATCCCGCTCGACATCGGCTAATATCCCCTCCACTTCCCCAACAGGTGGCGGCAATCACAGGGGACCGCGGGGCCCGAGTTCGCCTCACAATTATGGCATCAACATTGCATCGGTGCATTGAGCCAGCCGGCCTGAGAGGATGTAACACGATCATGATACCACTGATCATCATGTCAGTGCATGCAACGTCATCAGCATGCATCGAAAAAACAATTTACGACTGAGACCATCACTCACGGGCTCTGAGCTGCCTGCCGGTAGCCGTCCTCGCTGAGCCTGTTGTCGGCCGCCAGCTGTTGCAGATACTGGGCTCGCCGCTGGTCGTACTCAGACATTTGCTCCTGGAACCGGTGCCGGCTGCGCCGGTACTCCTGGAACAGCTCGCCGTCGCCGCGGCCGCCGCCGGCCGGCGCTGGGGCGGGCGGCACCGGGGTGGCGGCGGGGACGGCGGGGGCGAGGGCGGGGGCGGGGGCGGGCTGTGGTGCGCGGCCGCGCCGGCTCGACTGCGGCGACTCGGACGCGTCACTGTCGAGGCGCGAGCCGCGCTCGCGCTCGCTGTCAGAGGGCGTGGGGGGCGCCGGCCGCCGCGTCGAGCCCAGCGAGCTCGACTGGTCGCTGCCAGAGGAGGCCGTCGTCGCAGACGCCACCTTCGGCGGCGGGGGCGGCGGTGGCGGCGGCGCCGGCGGAGGCGCGCTCTGCGGCTCGTGGCGCTCGGAGATGGTGGTGAGCTCGCCGGCGGCGGCCGACGCCGCCTCGCTGTCGAACAGCCGGTCCACGGACGTGTTCATCGTCTTGCGACCGGTCAGGTGGAAGCTGGCGAGGCTCTGCGACATCGGGTCGGCGGCGGCAGCGGCCGCCGCCGCCGCCGCCGCGCGCTGCGGTCCGAGCCCGAGCGGCAGGCCCTCCAGCTGCGGGTTCAGCGAGCGCGACATCACGTCCGCGGACTTGGGCCGCGAGTGCGGCATCACCGAGTGCGGGAACGTCTTCGGCTTGATGGGCGTCACCAGCATGTACTCGGTCCAGAACGCGTCCAGCTGCGGCCGCTCCAGCCGCTCCACGTCCACGTTCAGCGTGCGCTGCTCGAACGGACAGGCGAACGTGTCGCCGGGGATGCTCTGCAGCCAGGAGAGCAGGCTGAGGTCCGAGTCGCTGAAGCCGCTGCCGCTGAGCACCTTGCTGAACTGCATCTCGCCGCCGGCGTCGGCGCCGGCCGACGTGGCCTTCTGCTGGCAGTACTCGACGCAGCTCTCGTACAGGATGCCCTTGATGAGCAGCTGGATGAGGCGGTCGCTGCTGGCGCACTCGTCCTGACGCTCACCGCCGCGCTTGCGCTCGCTCGGCAGGAACTTCTCCACCAGCGGCAGCACCGTGCGGAAGCAGGCCACGCGCGCCGCGCTCGGGTTCCAGTCGCGGTACTCGCTGTGGTCGCCGAGCCGCGGCAGCGTCAGCAGCAGGCACAGCGCCGAGTACTCCTCCTTGCTGTCGCAGAACTTCTCCAGCTCGTTCAGCACCTTCACCACCTCCTCGACGGCCTGGTCCATGTTGTCCTGCGCGCCGGCCTCGCTCTTGATGCACAGCAGCTCCACGTACTTGACCTTGAGCACCTCGTAGTGGAAGCGCTTCGAGTTGAAGCTCTCGATGCTGGTGAGCGGCTGCACGAACTCCAGCGCGTCCTCCCACTGGCCGTCTAGAATCAGCTGCCGCAGGAAGAGCAGGTCATCACTGAGGCTGGCGTTGATGATGCCGGCCTCGCGCTCCACGCTCAGCTGCGAGATGTGCAGCTGCCGGTTGTGCAGGAACTCTAGCATCAGCTTCACCACCTCCTCCTCGCGGAGGTAGAGGTGCGCCGACGGCATGATGTACTGGATGCACAGCCTGCGGGAGAGACCGGCGAGCGTCAGCGGACCGCGGGAGCGCTCCGCGCGGGGCCACAGGACACTCGCCGCGGAGTACAGGTACACGGGAGTACGCGACACGGGAGTACACGGGAGTACGCGACATCAGACGGGGGGGGGGGGGGGGTACATGACGCCGGGCATGGGGCATCAGCATACCACACCGGACGCGCAGGTACGCCAACGATGGTCCCCGCCAAGTGTTTCATCAAAGGCGTGGTCCTCTGGTGAACACAGAGGCATTCAAAAAGTGAGAGTTTATGGTGGTGGTGACAAAATTGGGCCCATTACGGGACATCGCCGCTTGTCTGTTGTGAGACATCTGAATCTGGACGGCGCAGTTCTTATCTGTCGCGTCCCACATGAGCGGCGAGTCTTTTCCATTCGGGGTGAGATGTGTATTCCCGAGGAAGGCTACACGATCACATAAACGTTAAAACATGAAAGGTATACCTAAACTCAAAAGGTCATGGGCAAATATGACAGGGTTACACGTCATCACATCTTGCTGTAGGGAACTGGGATCGAAGATCAGGTCAGGAAAAAAATGTTGCACCCACATCTGCCGCGAGCAGATCGCTCAACAGGACAAATACCTATAACAGCAGAGAGAGAACTCCTTGGCAAACACAATCGGCCTTCCACCTGGTGAAACAGCAGCGACCTGCCAGCCCATCATCCCATCATATATAGGTCCCAACAGCGGTGCCATCAGCCACAGGCCACCAACAGCGGCGCCATCAGACACAGGTCACCAACAGCGGCACCATCAGTTACAGGTCACCAACAGCGGCGCCATCAGACAGCCCACCAACAGCGCTGCCCAGTAAATGTTGTCGGACTACCTTTGGCCGCATGCAAGCACCGTCGAATGCGAGTACTGCTAGCCGAGTCGTCGAGAGCGACTGCGACCGCAACTGCAACTGCAACTGCGACTGCGACTGCGACTGCAACTGCGAGTGCGGCCGCGACTGCGACTACGACTACAAATTCGACTGCGCCCACAACTCCGCTTACGACTGCAAAGCACGGCATCTCTGCACCGTGCCAGTATCAGCCGTGAGCGGGTCGCGCGGCCGTGTCCCGGCCGGCCGCCTCTGCCGGCCACCCGTCAGCTGGCCCCCGCCCCGTCCTCAGAGTAGGCGGACAGGACCGGACAGGAGCGGACCGGGCCGAGGCAACGGAGCATCAGCCGTCACGCTCTGTCGCCTGCCCGACATCCGCCAACGACAGAGCCAGGGCCGCACCTGGGACGGCAACCTGAGCCGGAGCCGGAGCCGGAGCCGGAGCCGGAGCCGGAGCCTGAGCCTGAGCCTGAGCCTGAGCCTGGGCCTGGGCCTGGGCCTGGGCCTGGGCCTGGGCCTGGGCCTGGGCCTGAGCCTGAGCCTGAGCCTGGGCCTGGGCCGGAGCTGGAGCCGGAGCCGGAGCCGGAGCCGGAGCCGGAGCCGGAGCCGGAGCCGGAGCCGGAGCCGGAGCCAGTCAGAGCCAGGACGTTTCCTAGATGGCGCTGAAGCGCACGTGACCGGCCGCCGGTGGGCGCCTGTTTTTCGGAGGCGACCGTGCTGCGGTGGTGGGTTTTGCGCTCTGACGGCGCCGGTGTCGTGACGCGCGGTCACCACGCCATTTCCGCACGCGTCGAAACAGGGGTCACGAGCCATCGCCGTCGCCGCTCTCCAGTACGAAAGCATCCCTCTCTGACAGGGAAGCAATCTCACGTCGCACCGTTCCAGCCCACACTCCGCGGCACCCTACAACTGCCTCAGCCGCGGCCGGAGCGGCAGAACCGGCGCCGAACCGGCGGGACCCCCTGCACCGGCGCGGCCGCGGCCGCCGCGCCGCGCCGCGCCGCGCCGGCCGCCTATTACACGCCAGGTGCGCGGCGCGCGCGTCACACCCGAGCGCGCGCCGCCGCCGCCACTGAGCGTTGACCCCGCAGGTCGCGGCGGCGCGGCGGGGTCGCCGCATGCAGGGCGCCTCAATCAGGCGTGCCGGGCGGTGGCGCCGCTCGGCCGGGGGTGGCCGGCCGCTCCGCACGCCCGAGACGCCGCTGGGCCGCGGCAGACGCACTGGCTGGCGGGCAGGCCGGCCGGCCGAGCCTCCTGACCGCCGGCAGGTGGCACACAGAGGCGGCGCTGGGTGGCGTGGGATGAGATGAGATTGCTGCGTTGGACGGTGATCAGGGATAGGTACAGGTGAGCCAATCATCAGTACATCAGATCAGAACAGGTGAGCCAAGTCGATGCGGGGAAAGTAATGTATACGCACATGACATTTAGTCGTTAAATCATTGATCATTTATCGGTTAACGTGGCTGGAAACAAGTGTTTTTATGAACTGCATGAAATATCTAGACGTTAAAATAAACGCCAACACGGAGCGCCAGAGCTGTGTCATTGATCATTTATCGGGTAATGTGGCTGGGAAGAAGTATTTTTATAGACTATGAAATATCTAGCCATTGAAATAAACGCCCGCAAGGAGCGATGAAACAGTGAAAACACATTCGCTTACACGCAGATAACCGTTAAGCTACGCTTAGCGTTTAACGTCGAAAACTGAATTAAAGTTCAGGTCTTCCTGAAATCAAGCACAATCCTGACGTACAAGATCTCAAAGTGTGCGCGCCTCTTTTGCCTAAAGCCTTTTCTGATCTTGTACTCAGAGGCGCCGGCATTGCTTGAGAGCTGTGTAAACAGACCGAGCGCGCGGACACGAATGCATCATCGCTCATCGCTAGCGGTGTCCGCCGCCGCTAAACGACGCCCGTGCCCAGCGCGCTGGCAAATTCCCGACAAATGGCGGCTGGCCGCCGGCGCGGCCAACAAGCCGTCGCTCCATATGGCCGTCGGCCGACGCCGGTCGTTCACCTGTCCGCGCGTCTCATCCCGGCGCGGCGCCGTCTCCCGAGAGGCGCCCGCCGGGCGGCGCCACCGGGCACCGGCCGGGCACGGCGCGCCGGCCCGGCCAGGCCCGAGCCGCCGCCGCAGCGCCGGCGGCCCGAGCGCCGAGCACGCGCCTGGCGGGACCGGTCAGCACGTAATTCGGGCGTAATTGAGGTAGACGTTCCGGGGTTCAGTTATTGGAGGCGAGTTTCGACAGAGGGCAGGCGCCAGCGACATCATCGCGTCTGTTTCTTCAGTCGTCCGACCGACGCCTTCCGCTGATTTGATCTAAAAGCGGTGCTGTTGGCTGGGTTAAGTGTCGTGTAAAAGGCACTGCGCGGGGGAGGAAGAGCATGAATAGGAATTAAAACCGGCCTAGCTGAAGCTTTTCGACGCATTTCCGACTAAATCCATTTGGCGTTACAATTTCGCAGGCATCGTCAACTCCACGTTTTTAAAACCACGCTAAGGAACTTTTTTAAAAAGCCAAAGATGGACCATTGAAACAAACGGTATAAACGGAAGCTGTAGCGCATCAGAGGTCTCTTGGACCACAGCACCAAAGCAGAACTTAAAAACGGTCATAGCATAGGCACACACAATGCTCAACCAAAGCCGGAAAGAGCAGACCTCATTTCTCATCGTTCAAACGTTAACAGCGGAGCATAAAAGTCCCTGGTCACTTCCTACCCCAAGAAGTAGACCGAAGAACATAAGGCTCCCTGGTGAGCTCCATCCGACGAAGCAGCATCTCATACCGCCGCACACATTCGTCCCTGACCTTTTCACATCTCAACCCTGCAGCGGCAGTGCTGCGCCGTCTGGCGCGTGCCACCTTCACCAGACGACGACACGGCTCGGCAGCCGCCTCAGCCGCGGAGGCTATATGGTGCTCCGGCTGAATGATAACATTCCGAGCAGCGGAGCCTCAGCGGCCGGCGTCCGGTGGCGGGCGCGGCCGGCGGCGCCCGGCGCCAGCTGTCGCGGCCGAGCCGTCCGGTCCGATGCCGTCCACAACCAGCGCCGCCGCCGCCACCGCCTTCCCACATCAATAACGAGCCGCGTGCGCCCTTCTCACGTGGCCGACAGCGGCAGCGGTGACGTCAGAGCGGTGGCGTCGGACGACGATGCGCACCGGCGACCGGCGGGCGGCGGGCGGCGGGCGGAGGGTGGACGGCGGAGTCAGGTCAGAGCCGACGGACTGATGCAGGCAGTGGAGACGCAATGGGTTCAGGCACGCTGAGATCCACCAGATCAGCAAGGGCAGCACCGGGGCGGTGGGGAGCTGCTTCATGTCAGCAGGGGTTGGACCAGGTCAGCGAGGGCAGCACCGGGGCGGCGGGGAGATGTTTCAGGTCAACAGGGACTGGACTAGGTCAGCAGCGGGTCGCCGGCTACAGGTCCGCACTGAACGTGCTGTATTCTCAAACCCGGCCACATGCACGGAAAATTTAGGAACCGTACCACGACGGGCAATGTCGACAGAATTGGCACAGTTGTTAACCTATTCTCATAGCATAGAAATAAGGCCAAAAATGTAGCTAATGTATTTCGCTCCGCAGCTTCTTCAGGACTAAAAAGCAGGCGCAAAAAAGCCGGCATAGATTGTAAAAAATTGGTTGTGCGGTCCATACATTGGTCAACTTCTGATTTCGCACTTTCAAATATACACAGGGCTTTACTACAGCAAACATAACGTGTTATGTATATATGCATGACACATTAAATGCATATGTATATATTCACAGTGCCCATGTACATATACGTAAAGCACTACTGCAAAACATAGGCATAACATGTTATACACATGCACTGTCATGGGGATTGGCGTATATTTGAAAGTTTGCGAAAGCAGAATTTAATCAACGTATTGACCACACGAATTATTCTTAAAACTATGCATGTATTTCTGTGCTTATTTTCCAGTCACGTAAAGGTTGCAATCCGAAACATAAACACGAGCATGGTATATACTCCACCTCGCATTTATTCTAACTATGCTAAAAAGGACGTCCGAGACACCATTGTCTTCACCCATCAAGTAGGACGTTGTATCCACAATAACCATCTTCAATGGTTATAAAGCTATAAAGGACTT